AAACAGACACGCACACACACATATATATATGTATATATGTATATATGTATATATATATGTGTGTGTGTGTATGCGTGTATGTGTGTAGATATATCATATCTATATATGTATATGTGTGTGTGTGTGTGTGTGTGTATGTATGTATATATACATATATGTATATCTTGTGTGTGTACGTGTGCGTGTGCGTATATATATATATATGTGTGTGTGTGTGTGTGTGTGTGGGTGTGTGTGTATGGGTGAATATATTTATATGTGTGTCTACAGGTGGGTGGTAGTATGGGAGAGAGTAATAACACGTACGTAAAATATACTTCAATTCTATCCCAACCTCTTGGAAATTAATGCTTTTCTTTTTCACGATGGTACGTACATGCAGAAAATTGGTGCGAGTAAAAGACGCACTATCAATCACAGTGCTTGGGAGGAAGAGATGGACCGCAGGGGCGCCACTACAGAAGTAGTCGATAGGACAAACGTGATTTCCATGGAACTGTCTGGGCTGGGTGATAGTGACTGTGAAGAAGGATTTGAAGTATGAGTATGTCCTAGTGGACTAGTCGGATCTTTACTCGGACCTGACAGTCCATATAATTATGAATGCCTAGCTTCTAAACATATAATATTATGGAGAATCGTGCCACCGAATCAACTGGACACTGTACATGGCACACACGGCCGCTTGCCTTTGTACTCAAGTGCAATCACGCTATACGCGCCGCATATAGTTTCCAAAAGACCGAATGGGGGCGATCGAAGTTTTCTTCGCGGTGACTCACATTTTCATATTCAGCGACATCTAACCCCAAGAACAGTTCTGGGTCCTAGTGTATTACCAGAGGTTGCTTTCTATTCCGCACGCTTACGACTTATCGCTATTTGCGTTTTTTTATTAATCATCTCTGTGCACTTTCAATTCTCAGAAAATACCAATAATCCGTATCAGTTATAATATTAGTTGTATCTGCTACGGCGCCCATCCATCTTCTACCCTTAAAATGTACTCAACATGAACAATTACTGCCTCAACAAAGCACCCTCTATATGACTAACTGCAATATGTGCTTCTACCACACTATGACCATCGTAGCGATATCTTGCCACCCATGCGCCTCATAGGTTGTATATAGTCTGAGTAATCAGCGAGCAAGAATATAATATGACTGACATTACCACTGCTTGTAGCATGAACAAACCATGTACATGTTCTCATTCGCTAGCTCCTATAAAATCTTTTCCACAACCCTGGCTTTACCATCAACTTGTATCTCAACAGCGTGAGTTCCACGCGTAGGTTTAGAATGAATAGAAAAAGAAGCGAAATTGGCTTTTTTTTTTTTGGTCCTGATAAGGAAGCGCAGAATGACACTGCTAATTAAATATATGTACATACCCTAATTTCGACCTTTTCAGTATTTTGCATGACGTCAATATGTTTTATAAAACTGCTTTTTGTGTCGTAACTGTATTCTCATTGTAATTACAAATGCATCTGCAACTTTTCGAACGCATGATGGTTGCTATTTATTGCACTATAGCTATGTATCAATTGTTAGTGTTTTTTTTTTCAAATACTATTTTTATTAAATTTAGGTGCCTTCTCAAAAGGAACTATAGTTTATCTTCAGACGCCATCGGCAGTGTTCGCAATTTAAAGTATAATGATTTGAAGAATTCTTTCTGAATGCTGAGGTCAAAGACAGTCATCACTAGCGTACCATGATCCATATTGTTATAATCAGTTACGTACCACTTCCCTGTTTGTAAATCATCCCCATGTTCCTGTAAGGTAGCTTTATGCTCGCATGCACACTTCGCAGTACCGTCCTCGTGACCTCCAACTAGCCCATTGAGGTAATTGCTAGCTTCTACGGACTGGTCAGCATGAGTGAAGCATAATCCAGGGTGACTTTGCAACACTGTCGGCACGACGCAGTCATTGCGGCGTAATCCATTGTTGATGGCCGATACCTTCTCCTCAGTACTTACGTCCAACCTCGGATACATGGTCTGCAATGACTTTGCGTCATAATTGTGCATCCCTAGGAATGCTCCTACGGGTGAAAGAAGGGTAGCTGTAGTGGGCATATGAATGCCATTCCAAGACGACTCTTTCGTGAGCGTTTTAGTAAAGCTGAAGTAGTAAGTACAGTCAAAAGCATCCACCATCTTATCATTCATTCGAGAGCATTTCCCGGGTGCCATGTCATACAAGCCATGATCGTAAGAATTCTCCATGGGGGTATTCCATACGGACGCAACAAGCATAGAAAGCCACTCACTCCAGGTATCGGCCTCAGTTCGCCCAGTTTTTCCAAAGTGTGCAAAGTATGGATTGTAAAAGTTGTTTCTGAGCAATGAAATATCCATCCAATCGTATAGTCGGAAAGCCCTTTCGAGTAATTTACCTGGAGCCAACGCCCGAAATGAATTCGATTCACTAGTGCTTAGGCCTGCAAGATCATGAACGATCGACGACCCGTTGAGGGGTGCTGCAATTGCAGTGAGACTAAATATCCAGTCAGCGGCTGTGTCGTATCCTGGGAAGCGTTGTTCGTGCAGATACTGCTGCAGTGCACGCGCTGTGTTTCCACCAAAGCTGTAACCAACGGTGTGTACCGGATTTTCAGAAGACCATTCTGCATAAGCAGGTGTTTCGAATGTGCGTCCGTAGCGAGCATGTCCACACTTTTGCGAGTGCTCTTCTCCATAATCGACTGTACCCCCTACCATTTGATAGAAAAGCTCGCATACTCGATCGTGCTGCGAGCTTATCGGGCCTATGTCGCTGACGATTACATTATGATGGTGTTTCATTCCGTTCCACCAGTAATAATCTTGTCCCTCGCCGAAGAACCCATGCACTAGCAGAATTGGAGCGTTTGCTGCCGTATGTGTATCATTATTGCGAGGTGAATATGAGAGAAGACTCTCAATTTGCTTCGGTGACTTTCTTATAAGGGGGCTGAGGGCCTGGACCAATTGTTTCACATCCGTTTCATATTCGGAAACCGTATTGTCGCTGGGGATGTCGAGCATTGATAGTGATGCGGGTAGCAGCGTGTTACTTAGAAGTGGTGCCATTATTGCGGAGGTTAGATAGGTTGATACTCGTGAGAGACGTGAAAGTTTAGTATGCTGTTTTCTATATTGATATTCTACTATTTGTAGTCGTTACTGAACCCAAAGCGTGCATGTTTGCTTAGCGAAATATGAACAGCTTAGTGTCTCATTTAGAAGACTATGTATGGCTTTAGATTCCTTTTTTTTTTTTAATACGAATTTTTTCTCGAAGATCCTACAGAGTCGAGTCTGAACTCTGGAGTCTGGAGTCAATAAATCAAAGTATTGTATGGGAGTCTGAGAGTCCCTGAGTAACTACATATAATCATATACATAGTTTGCAAGTGTAAAAGTACAGACTTTAGGGACTACAATCACCAGTCCATGTATATAGTAAATACACCAGACAGAAGTCCAGAATTAGAAGTGTATATATGACGGATGTAGACTGTAGACTATGTTGGAGAAGGGAACAGGAGAAAGTCTTAATCTGGACTCTGGAAACCGTACACACAGCCTACATGTAACTCATACCTGAGAGTGAAACCCGCTGGGCGCTGAGTCATGAGTGAGCTTCCGCCTCCTGGAGTTCCTCTTGTGTTAAAATGATAAATCACTGCTGAGACGCCCTGGAGATTAAAAGCACTGTTTGATACTTTACCCCCCTAGGAGAGCCAATGTATTGGTATGTAGCAGTGATAAACCTCGAGGTTCAAACCTGCCGCGGGAGCGGCCAGGCTCGGGACTGAGTCGGGACTGAAGGCTTCGCAATATGCAGTGAAGGATAAAATTTAATTTTAGGGTTTTTCAATCCAAAACTTAGTTTTTGATTGGTATTTTTTGGCTTTTAAAAATCGTTTTTAGTTGTGATATTTTATATATATAGAATATTGTTCATTTGTATGTACCGAATTACCGATGTGTCGGAATGAGTGAGTATTTATATATGTAGTTACATATTTACTGATAGTGATTTCACTCATTTGAGTCATTTCAGATTTCAAAATCCGAATTACTTTTTTTTGCTTTTGAGGATTTTGGTTTTGGTTTTTTTTAAACAAAAAGCAAACACAGTTGCTGTTGCTAGGGTCTGGGAACTTGAAAGTGGGAAATGAAGTTTTTGCAACACCATCAAAAATGAACGAACACTGAACAGTCTGGACTCTGGAGTCTGGAGTCTGGACTCTGGACTCTGTGGCATGTCTGGCATCGGAGTCCTCCGGAATTTCGGTGCCATCTGTAGTGACTCACGAAGTCACACTATCAATGGTATACGTGAACCCATTGAACCGGGAACCCAGAGGCCAGAGACGTCTCGCTTCAGAATTTAGTGCCAGTCGGCCCTCTCCTTGTCGCCTCAAACACAACTCCAATTATGGATAGAAATGGAGAAAATGTAGCTATCGATTTCGATGCCAGTATCGCGCATACACTCGACTTCATGAAATGTCCAGACACCGTGAACCCCTCTACATGACGACAGACGCGATTTTTTGGTACGTACTGGAGTCATGGAGTACAAGAAAAAGTGTAGTGTTTGTCATAAATCTGACCAAAATATTTATGATTGAAGCGCCTAAAGAATTGATGCGCTCGGCTGTGCTGAACTTGCTGGTTTCATTATTGCTTTCCCAGTCTTAGTGTGCATTATGTATCATTGCCAAGATAGCCACGGGTATGACCACAGAGCCTGTATCTAAGGATGTGCGGCGTGACGATAATATGTATAACTTCAGAATAGATGAAAAACACGAGCGTGCACTGAAGCACACAAGCACAAACGCAGAATAGCGTAGTAAAAAAAACAAATGTGAACACGCAAAGATATCATTCTCCAGCAGGAGGTGAAAAGTGACTGGTGCATAGCTGACTCATAAACCAGAATGGATGTTGCTGAAACTTGCCTTTGACAAGTAAACAAACATGAGACTATATACCAAATCTACATAACATTCACAAATATTACTATTATTAGATGACAAGCCATTCAAAATCGACAAAAACGGTCTTTCAAACTTTGAACATAGCCTTCGGCCTAATTCTTATCATTTTCACGCGTAGGTTGAGATATATTGGATGAGAAACAATTTCAAATCACTTTTAATTGATATGGGAACTCCGTATCACGCTAATGTACCCAATTTCGTATTTGTAGATTCACACTCTGCAACGTCGCTAAAAACGATAAAAACGATGAAATTTCTGTATTTTATCGCAACTATATTTCCGCTGTACATAGGCAAATATAACAAACTTTTCAAATGCGTTATTGATGTTCATTAAACTAAAGTTATTACAAAATATTATTCTCAGTAATATTGAATGAAAGCTTGTATTATTAGAAGAAGAAGAAAAAAGCTATCTTCAGTTGCCATCGGCAGCCTAATCAAACTAGTGAAGTGTACATCTATACGATATGAATTATGCAAGTATACAAGCGAACTCATACCGTTCCCCATGGAATCTGAAACTCGAAAATCGCATGAATTTGAGCTAAGTATTTTGTACTCAATTTGTATCTTTTATTTCTCCGAAGCAAACAAGGAGTCGGGCCCGAATGCTTTAAATGATAGTAAGTTGGAACAGATGCACAATATGTGTGAAGGTAATATTCTAAAATGGGAATACTGTTGGTGTGTATTTAGATGTGTGTAAACGCTGTGTTTTTCAGACGACTAGGCTATAGATATGACATACGTTGCGGTGGAGATGTGACTATTCTGTTAGAACAATCACAGCGACCCTAATATGCGTACCAGTGAAATCTTCCCATGTACAATATCAGTTTAATGTATATGTGGTATCCCATAACAAAGCAGTCGGATTAGTAACCACGCAAATAAGAAGTATCCAATATATGTGACATTCTTATATATTCGGACATTCTGCTATGCACACTTTGAGTATATGCGCCTCTGGAAGTCAGAATATATGAAAATATCCACACTCTCGCTCCACAGTGCCCAGGAGGGGATACATGAATATTCGTCTCCTGTGGTGTCATGCACTTTGCCTCTTTGAAACCAACCCCTACACCCGCCTTACATAAAACCCTTGTAGCCTGTATTGGTGTACTTAGCTGTAAAACACTGCTTTTTGTATATAAAAATGTAAATATTTAAAATAGTACTTTTTCTACAATTTATATTTTCGCTATAAATAAAGGCATCAGCAAACTCGTTGCACATTTACAACTGGACACAATCGTTGGTGGCATCATGTCGTCGCTACCCACGCCAGGGTTCACGAGCCCTCCCACATCCGATGACGATCTGCTCGACATTCCCATCGCCCACCCACATGCGCGAAACAGCACACTTCACGTGGGAACCCCAGATGACGCACACTCACGTACACACAGCGCACACGTACGCAAACGTAAGCAGAAACTGGTTGTGTTTGAGGATGAAATGGAAGGCTCTGATGCACAGGCAAGTAGTATGACCAGTAGCATACGGAGGCTGTCGGTCAATAGTGCAGAAATTGTGTTGCAAGTAGACCCATTCATGCAGGGAGGTGCACCCCTTAGAAGGACGCATTCGAATGAGAGGCCGAAGGTGGTCGAGAAATACGTAGCTATACAGAGTTTGAGATCACCCACCGTACTCAGGTAATCTATATTCTAGTTCCTATACCAATCTTTATTTGCTAGTACCGAGGCTCAGCTTAGCATGATCGGTATTAAAACATACATACAACCATACATATAAATACCAACATACTATACAGGTTGCTTGCATGGAACATGCGTGCGTACATCCTACAACAATACAGACATTTCATATATATATATATATATATATATATATATATATATATATATATATATATATATATATATATATATATACTATATATATATATTATATATATATATATAAATATATATATTGTATATTATATATATATATATATATATATATATATTGTGTATGTTTGTTTGAGTGTGTGTGCGTTTGCGTGTATGTGCGAATCCAATACCGGATGCATACAGGAATGCTATCGACTAGTGGTTGCACACGACCAATTTGCTCTCATGTATGGTCGAAAGTCGTCCACTAGTAGTATCATATCCTGGTTTCTTTATCCATATACTCGCAATAAGTTCCACGATTCACGCGTGAACGGTGCAACTGTTCGGATAAATGGGCAATCGTATCTTTTCAAGTGCTCTATGGCGCGATTCGTCAAGTGACTAAATCATGTTTTAGATTGGGTGTTTTTGTAATTGTTCTTCTCTCGTGGTTTTTATTTTTGTATCAATTTTCCAAGAAGAGCGTAGGCTGAGGATGAGACTACGGTTTTTGACAATTGCTTAGCCGGTCTATTGAAAATGTTCTTCATCCTTATATATTCTGTAGGTCCAGCTTTTCCCGGAACTAATCTACTGTCGGTACAAAGCACCTCACAAGGCAGACGAAAGACGAAGGAGGTACCATTCAGACGTCAGGTATAGCGTAGCGTGCAAATTGTGTTGTATGCATGCAGGGAGTGCTAGTACTGAGTATCTGGTCCGTTTGTACTGTCACAGCTGTCAGCAGTACTGAAGAGCGTGATGGCTGGCTGGCTATGACACATTCTGTTCGAAGTGTTGTGCGCTGAACGATGACGTAGACTACTTTTAGTGATCGACTTGTTCTACTTCAAATAGTGACGGGTTCTTTTTTTTTAACAATATTTTGAAGTATACAAACCAACTGAATCTGCAATTTTACAAGTGGTGATCCCTGTTTATGATTAACATAGGTTTGTCTCCATGAAAACATCATATTTTCTGGACCCTGGCATATACTATATACAAGGGCTCACTCATTGACTACATTACTATCGCGTTCTTCTCCTTAAAAGATATGCATGGTTGGTTTCTATGAAACCTTCATATTTCTTAAATTCTAACATGTATTCCATTCCCGAGGTTAATTCATTGACTACATTACTATCGCGTTCTTCTCTTTAAATTATCATGCTTGGCTGGTCTGTATGAACCTTCATATTTCCTAGATTCTAACATGTATTCCATCCCCATCCCAGGGTTAACTCATTGACTACATTACTATCGTGTTCTTGTCACTAAATGATCATGCATGGTGGCTGTGCAGCGCCCAAGCGCTTGTGAGGAGCAACGAGGGGGAATACGGGAGAATGCTGGAGAATCCTGTTACCATGGAGAGTGTAGTTTTCGAAAAGTAGGTGTTGTATCAACTTTGCATTCATATATGCTACCAATGTCTTGACAATCCCGTGTACCGTTTGTGTCTGTCGTGTGTCGTTTTCATCGATGGAATTCAATGGACGTACTCGTATCGTCTCTCCGGTCACATTGTTTCCGATTATGGTTTCCGATCATAATCTATATCCTCATAGTAGCGCAATATGGCTACGTCTGTGATCGACATCTGTCGATAGCGGGGTATCGACATGACAACTTTTCAGTTCGCCTACCATCGAATATGTTTCATGGATTGCCCTTTGTGTGGTAGAAAACCATTGCTTGGCTTAAAAAAAATTATGGAACCAAATGATACTATAGTAGAATTATAAGCACACTTATCACCGTCCCGATCAATTAATGAATGGTCCGGTTTTTTTCATGTTTATAAACTTTTGTTCGTCCACACAGCGCAACTAAAGTTTCGATCCCAGTATAATATTTCGAAAGGTCGATCCAAATTTTTAGATTCAAATTTGGAGTATAATTATCTTCCATTAGTGTTCTGCATGCCCATAAGGACGACGAGGATGATGCGTGGGAACAGCACGAAACCGAGGAACCCAGCATTAACATGGAAGGTAAGTTGCTATCCCCGGCACCTGGTGCTCGAAATATGCAGTCCAATGTTATAATTACCCTCAAACATAGAAATTCTATATCCACATTTATTGCTGTGCAAGGAACACTTCTACGCATGTGAAGGAACAATTTATCTCGGTGGCGTCCGCAGAATGTTGACGGGAGGCTTGCACGATTTACTATATATAGTCACACCGTTTCGTATGCCCGATTGCCATTGTATACGTCCAAACATCTACACCCAATCTTGGCTATAGCCCCTAGCATTCTACTTGCTCAGTTGTCGCTACACCACGTCACAGGACCGACTTCGAAGTCGCAAAATATCGAAATATCTGCTCATACAAACACAATATATAGCTTATATAGAATATTAATATCAATATGTTCGTGTGTATATTATATATATATATATATATATATATTTGTGTGCTTATTATATATATATATATATATATATATATATATATATATATATATATACTCAGGATATTTCTCTATCTAGTTCAATTTCTATTTTACGTCAATATTCCTTTCATGTCTTAAATTTTCTTTCCTTTCTGCATCTATTTAACAGATCAGTCCATCTTACAGGAGGTCTTCTATTTCGACTACGGTGTCGTAGTGATGTGGGGGCTGAATTCTGAACAGCAAAGGGCGGAGCTAGATATGCTTCATGCCTTCCAGTCGGACAGCCTGGACAAAGACTCTCAGAATGCACTTGCATTTGATATTGTGGTCGATCCCAAGGTTGCTCAGCGCGTTGCTGATGGCGTGATATTCATGCACGATATGGAGGTACATTTGCACCGTGCGTCTGTGTGTCTGTGTGCCTGTATGTTTTTGTGTGTGTGATAGCTTGTACCTGTCGATGTACCGGTCTGCGTATGTACTTGTTTGTAAACTTGTGCGTGTGTGTAGGCATACTTGTACATGCTTTTGGTTTACGTGTGGCTTTGTGTGTTTAGGAGGCTTCCCGTGCGTATTACAACACACGTATTTGGAATTAAGTTGTGCCTATATCACAGCCGGTTCTAATTCCTGATCCCTGCATGTGTCAAATTCAGCTATTTGGGCCATAGATCGGTCATATACTGAATTTGTTTATATATATATATATATATATAAATATATATATATATATATATATATATGTATATGTATATGTATATGTATATATATATATATATATATATATATATATATATATATATATATATATAAGAATTATATATAAATATATATATATATATATATA